ATCTTCAATTAATTCACCATGCAAGAATGCTGATTTGACGTCGACTTGATACACAATCCAGCCTCTCTGTGCAACAAGAGCAAGCATCACTCTAATTGTATCCATTCGAGCCATCGCAGCATAAACTTCTGTTTCTGTAAAATCCACTCCTTGCCTCTGCGAGTAGCCTTTTGCTACCAACCGAGCCTTGTACTTGTCAATATCCCCTGCCTCATTGTATTTAGTTTTGAAAATCCATTTTACTCCTATCCTTTTAGCTCGTGCAGGCAGCTTAACCAGTTTCCATGTGTTCTTCTCAATGGACTCAATTTCTGCATCTGTGGCCTTTGTTCACTACTCACTTCCTACTGCATCCTCGAAGTTTGCTGGATCATCAGACATCACAAGTGTCATATTAGCTTGCAACTCCAAGTCTGAAATTCCCGAACCAGAAAGTCCAGAACCTGGTGTATAATCACTCATCTAAGCTGGTGGTCCTCTTTCTCTTGCCTCCCTTGCTTCTGGTGTCTCATAACCCATAGAAGAATTATCTACATTTTCTTCTTCCTCGCTTGAGTTCAAAGTACCTCCCCCTGAATTACCAACTTCTTGATCTTCGAACTCGTCATCACCGTCAGATGCTTCATCTTCTATCTCGTCGGGACACCTTGATCTTCTCCCCACTCCAGCTCCATTGACACTTGCTGCTCATAGCTTGTATCCCAGTCCCACTCTCTTTTTTCTTCGAACACTGCATCTATGCTAATCGCTATCTTTTTGGTGATAGGATTGTAGAATCTGTAGACCTTTGACTCTTCACTCACTCTAAGTAGGACGCAGAGTACACTTCTATCCTCCAATTTGGTTCTTCTTGCCCCTGGAACATGGATGAAAGCAATACACCCGAAGACTCTAAAGAATTCCACAAAATGTTTCTCTCCGCCTCAAGCCTCCTGAGGTGTCATGTCTTTCACTGCACTTGTAGGACATCTGTTTAACACAAACGTCGTCCAATTGACTGCTTCTGGCCGAAAGGTCTTCGGCATCTTCTTTTCTGAAAGCATCGATCTCACCATGTTTAGAATTGTTCTATTTTTCCTCTCCGCAACTCCATTCTGTTGTGGTGAATATGCTGCTGTCAACTGCCTCTTGATCCATTTTCCTTGCAAAATTCATTAAACTCATTTGGATTGAACTCTCCACCTCTGTCAGTCCGAAAGTACGTGATTGATAGACCTGTTTCTTTTTCAACATTTCTTTTTAAAGCTACAAAGGAGCTAAATGTATCTTCTTTGTTTGTTAAATAAAAAGTCCATGCTCTTCGACTAAAGTCATCAATGAAGTATAGTATGTACCTTTTAATACTGTTTGATTCTGGTGCGATCGGTCGGCAGAGATCTGCATGAACTAGCTCCAACTTATGTTTTGCCCTCCATGTGCTCTTCTTTGGAAAGGAATTTCTATGCTGCTTTCCAATAAGACAATCTGTACATTCCTTCTTTGCAACATCAAACTTTGGCAACCCTTGAACCATGTTCTTACTATGTAAGGTCTTCAGACCCTTGTAGCTCAAGTGACCATACTTGCAATGCCAGAGTCACGGCAGGTCAAGTGTTGAGGTGAGAAAGCAGCTGGTGGGAGTTGCAACTGCTCCGGCTATAATAACAAGCATCTTATTTGCAGTCATCGTTGTTTCAATGATCAATCCTCTCCTTGGATGGTAAATTCTGCACTTCCCTTCATGCATCAGAATAGCTAGACCCTTCTCTTGCCATTGACCCACACTCAATGGGTTGTTCTTGAGCTCTGGTACATAATAAACTTTTGTGACTACATGCTTCACTCCATTGATACTCAATTTTGAGCTCTGGTACATAATAAACTTTTGTGACTACATGCTTCACTCCATTGATACTCAATTACACGCTGTGTTTTCGTTCTACATTCATCTTGGTGTTGTTCCCGAGCTTCACCAAGTGTCTAAACTCGATGTCAAAGTCTGAAAACATCTTCTTATCCCCACACATATGGTTAGAACAACCTGAGTCTACGAACCAAGCTTCTGCTCTGCTTACTCCATTTGCCTCTGCTTGTGCCATCAATGCCAACTCTTCTTCATATCTGAGTTCCACCGCTGAGCCTCTTGCAAAGTTTTCGGTGACTTCAACATGAGACATACGCCGCAAAGTCTCACCTCCATCTATGTTGGCATAGTTTGCTTCTTTCTCTGTTCCTGGACACTCATATTGAACTCCATCATAGAGGTTTTGAATTCTCCCAACATCACATCATCATTGCTAGTATAGATAAGATCATCAATATAAACACTTACTCGCAAGATTTTTCTTCCACTGCTAATTTTAGAGAAAAGAGTCTACTCACTGCTACATTTCAGAAATCCTTCTTTGTTGAAGTGGGCATCAATTCGGCTAAACCAAGCACGAGGTGCTTGCTTTAATCCATATAGCGCTTTCTGTAGCTTGTAAATTTTATCCTCTTCTCCTTTCTTCTCATACCCCAAAGCTTGCTCGACATAGACATCTTCAATTAATTCACCATGCAAGAATGCTGATTTGACGTCGACTTGATACACAATCCAGCCTCTCTGTGCAACAAGAGCAAGCATCACTCTAATTGTATCCATTCGAGCCATCGGAGCATAAACTTCTTTAAAATCCACTCCTTGCCTCTGCGAGTAGCCTTTTGCTACCAACCGAGCCTTGTACTTGTCAATATCCCCTGCCTTATTGTATTTAGTTTTGAAAATCCATTTTACTCCTATCCTTTTAGCTCGTGCAGGCAGCTTAATCAGTTTCCATGTGTTGTTCTTCTCAATGGACTCAATTTCTGCATCCGTGGCCTTTCTCCACTTCTCACTTCCTACTGCATCCTCGAAGTTTGCGGGATCATCAGACATCACAAGTGCCATATTAGCTTGCAACTCAAAGTCTGAAATTCCCGAACCAGAAAGTCCAGAGCCTGGTGTATAATCACTCATCCAAGCTGGTGGTCCTCTTTCTCTTGCCTCCCTTGCTTCTGGTGTCTCATAACCCATAGGCGAATTATCTACAGTTTCTTCTTCCTCGCTTGAGTTCAACGTACCTCCTCCTGAATTTCCAACTTCTTGATCTTCGCACTCATCATCATCGTTAGATGCTTCATCTTCTATCTCGTCGGGACACCTTGATCTTCTCCCCACTCCTGCTCACTGACACTTGCTGCTCATAGCTTGTATCCCAGTCCCACTCTCTTTTTTCTTCGAACACTGCATCTCTGCTAATCGCTATCTTTTTGGTGATAGGATTGCAGAATCTATAGACCTTTAACTCTTCACTCACTCTAAGTAGGACGCAGAGTACATTTCTATCCTCCAATTTGGTTCTTCTTGCCTCTGGAACATGGATGAAAGCAATACACCCGAAGACTCTAAAGAATTCCACAAAATGTTTCTCTCCGCTCCAAGCCTCCTGAGGTGTCATGTCTTTCACTGCACTTGTAGGACATCTGTTTAACACAATCGTCGTCCAATTAACTGCTTCTGGCCCAAAGGTCTTCGGCATCTTCTTTTCTGAAAGCATCGATCTCACCATGTTTAGAATTGTTCTATTCTTCCTCCCCGCAACTCCATTCTGTTATGGTGAATATGCTGCTGTCAACTGCCTCTTGATCCATTTTCCTTACAAAATTCATTGAACTCATTTGGATTGAACTCTCCACCTCTGTAAGTCCGAAAGTACTTGATTGATAGACCTGTTTCTTTTTCAACATTTCTTTTGAAAGCTACAAAGGAGCTAAATGTATCTGCTTTGTTTGTTAAATGAAAAGTCCATGCTCTTCGACTAAAGTCATCAATGAAGTATAGTATGTACCTTTTACTACTGTTTGATTCTTGTGCGATCAGTCCGCAGAGATCTGCATGAACTAGCTCTAACTTCTGTTTTGCCCTCCATGTGCTCTTCTTTGGAAAGGAATTTCTATGCTGCTTTCCAATGAGACAATCTGTACATTCCTTCTTTGCAACTTCAAACTTTGGCAACCCATGAACCATGTTCTTACTATGTAAGGTCTTCATACCCTTGTAGCTCAAGTGACCGTACCTGCAATGCCAGAGTTGTGACAGGTCAAGTGTTGAGGTGAGAAAGCAGTTGGTGGGAGTTGCAACTGCTCCGACCATAATAACAAACATCCTAGTTGCAGTCATCGTTGTTTCAATGATCAATCATCTCCTTGGATGGTAAATTCTGCACTTCCCTTCATGCATCAGAATAGCTAAACCCTTCTCCTTCCATTGACCAACACTCAATAAGTTGTTCTTGAGCTCTGGTACATAATAAACTTTTGTGACTACATGCTTCACTCCATTGATACTCAATTACATGCTGCGTTTTCGTTCTACATTCATCTTGGTGTTGTTCCCGAGCTTCACCAAGTGTCTAAACTCGCTGCTAAAGTCTGAAAACATCTTATCCCCACACATATGGTTAGAACAACCTGAGTCTACGAACCAAGCTTCTGCTCTGCTTACTCCATTTGCCTCTGCTTGTGCCATCAATACCAACTCTTCTTCATACCTGAGTTCCACCGCTGAGCCTCATGCAAAGTTTTCGGTGATTTCAACATGAGACGTAAGCAGCAAAGTCTCACCTCCATCTCTGTTCCTAGAAACTCATATTGAACTCCATCATAGATGTTTTGAATTCTCCCAACATCACATCATCATTGCTAGTATAGATAGGATCATTTATATAAACACTTACTCGCAAGATTTTTCCTCCACTGCCAATTTTAGAGAAAATGGTCTACTCACTGCTATATTACTGAAATCCTTCTTTGTTGAAGTGGGCATCAATTCGACTAAACCAAGCACGAGGTGCTTGCTTTAATCCATATAGCGCTTTCTGTAGCTTGTAAATTTTATCCTCTTCTCCTTTCTTCTCATACCCCAAAGGTTGCTCGACATAGACATCTTTAAATAATTCACCATGCAAGAATGCTGATTTGACGTCGAGTTGATACACAATCTAGCCTCTCTGTGCAACCAAAGCAAGCATCACTCTAATTGTATCCATTCGAGCCATCAGAGCATAAACTTCTGTAAAATCCACTCCTTGCCTCTGCGAGTAGCCTTTTGCTACCGACCGAGCCTTGTACTTGTCAATATCCCCTGCCTCATTGTATTTAGTTTTGAAAATCCATTTTACTCCTATCCTTTTAGCTCGTGCAGGCAGCTTAACCAGTTTCCATGTGTTGTTCTTCTCAATGGACTTAATTTCTGCATCCATGGCCTTTCTCCACTTCTCACTTCCTACTGCATCCTCGAAGTTTGCGGGATCATCAGACATCACAAGTGCCATATTAGCTTACGACTCCAAGTCTGAAATTCCCGAACCAGAAAGTCCAGAACCTGGTGTATAATCACTCATCCAAGCTGGTGGTCCTCTTTCTCTTGCCTCCCTTGCTTCTGGTGTCTCTTAACCCATAGACAAATTATCTACATTTTCTTCTTCCTCGCTTGAGTTCAAAGTACCTCCTGGATTTCCATCTTCTTGATCTTCGAACTCATCATCACCGTCAGATGCTTCATCTTCTATCTCGTCGGGACACCTTGATATTCTCCCCACTCCAGCTCCATTGACACTTGCTGCCCATAGCTTGTATCGCAGTCCCCCTCTTTTTTTTCTTCGAACACTGCATCTCTGCTAATCGCTATCTTTTTGGTGATTGGATTGTAGAATCTGTAGACCTTTGACTCTTCACTCACTCTAAGTAGGACGCAGAGTACACTTCTATCCTCCAATTTGGTTCTTCTTGCCTCTGGTACATGGACGAAGGCAACACACCCGAAGACTCTAAAGAATTCCACAGAAGGTTTCTCTTCGCTCCAAGCCTTCTGAGGTTACTTGTCTTTTCACTGCACATGTAGGAGATCTCTTTAACACAAACGTCGTCCAATTGACTGCTTCTGGCCAAAAGGTTCAGCATCTTCTTTTCTGAAAGCATCGATCTCACCATGTTTAGAATTGTTCTATTCTTCCTCTCCGCAACTCCATTCTGTTGTGGTGAGTACGCTGCTGTCAACTGCCTCTTGATCCATTTTCCTTACAAAATTCATTGAACTCCATTCTGTTGTGGTGAGTACCCTAATCCACCTCTGTCAATCCGAAAGTACTTGATTGATAGACCTGTTTCTTTTTCAACATTTCTTTTGAAAGCTACAAAGGAGCTAAATGTATATGCTTTGTTTGTTAAATAAAAAGTCCATGCTCTTCGACTAAAGTCATCAATGAAGCATAGTTTGTAGCATGTACCTTTTACTACTGTTTGATTCTGGTGCGATCGGTCCGCATAAATCTGCATGAACTAGCTCTAACTTCTGTTTTGCCCTCCAAGTGCTTTTCTTTGGAAAGGAATTTCTATGCTGCTTTCCAATGAGACAATCTGTACATTCCCTCTTTGCAACATCAAACTTTGGCAACCTATGAACCATGTTCTTACTCTGTAAGGTCTTCAGACCCTTGTAGCTCAAGTGGCCTTACCTGCAATGCCAGAGTTGTGGCAGGTCAAGTGTTTAGGTGAGAAAGCAGCTGGTGGGAGTTGCAACTGCTCCGGCCATAATAACAAACATCCTATTTGCGCTCATCGTTGTTTCAATGATCAATCCTCTCATTGGATGGTAAATTCTGCACTTCCCTTCATGCATCAGAATAGCTAGACCCTTCTCTTGCCATTGACCCACACTCAATAAGTTGTTCTTAAGCTCTGGTACATAATAAACTTTTGTGACTCCATGCTTCACTCCATTGATACTCAATTGCACGCTGCCTTTTCGTTCTACATTCATCTTGGTGTTGTTCCCGAGCTTCACCTAGTGTCTAAACTCGCCGTCAAAGTCTGAAAACATCTTCTTATCCCCACACATATGGTTAGAACAACCTGAGTCTACGAACCAAGCTTCTGCTCTGCTTACTCCATTTGTCTCTGCTTGTGCCATCAATGCCAACTCTTCTTCATAACTGAGTTCCCCTGCTGAGCCTCGTGCAAAGTTTTCGGTGACTTCAACATGAGACATAAGCAGCAAAGTCTCACCTCAATCTATGTTGGCATAGTTTGCTTCTTTCTCTGTTCCTGGACACTCATATTGGAAGTGCCCAAGCTTGTGACATCGAAAGCATTCAATTGTTGCACGATTGAATGTTTGTCGGCCTCTTCCTCTACCTCTTCCATGAAAACCTCCTCGATTTCCTCGTCCTCTCCCACCTTCATATGAAACTTTCAGAGCTTGCTCCTCATCAGTACTCCTTCTCTTCTGAAACTTTTGTTCATGAACTAGCAGAGAGCTCCGAAGTTGATTCACCGAAAGACTTTTGATATCTTTCGATTCCTCAAGTGAACATACAACAAAATTCCAGCTCTCAGGAAGTGTACGCAGAATCTTCTCTACAATCTTAGCATCCTCCAAGCCTTCTCCTAGATTGCTCATATTATTGCAGACTAACGCTACTCTTGAAAAATAATCTGTAATTGACTCACCAATTTTCATCTCAAGTTCCTCCAAATCTCTTCGAAGTGTCTGCAGCTGTGCATTGTGCACCTTCTCATCTCCTTGGAACCTTGTCTTCATTGACTCCCAAAGCTGCTTAGCTGTGTCCTTTTGGGTGTTAGTCTTCAAGGTCGTCTTGTCAATGGCTTGGAAAAGGTAATTCTTTACCTTTAAATCCTTCAGCTTCAAGTCTGCTAGATTTGCTTTCTGGGCACCATTCAGGATCTCGCCTCTCGCTGGTTCGGTATAACCTATTTCCACCAAATTTCACCACTCTTTTGATCGTATCAAATTCTCCATGAGCATCGCCCAATACTCCTAGTCTCCATCAAACATAGGAATGCTCAGGGTGGCATCCTTCTCTGTTTCCATCTCTACACTCTAATTTCTCACTCTTCACTCGTGCTTGCTCTTCTTTGTTCCTCACTTTCTCTCCTGTTTGCACTCACACACACTCACAATCAGGCCACTAGTGAGCTCTGATACCAATTGTTGAGAATTGGTATCAAGCTAGGTATCTGAGAAACAAAGATTGATTGAATACTACAATACTTTATTGAATGCAAACATCTGGCTTTATAGCCTTACAACCTAACAGAAAGAGAAATTGCAGCCCACTAACATAGTAGTAAAACTACAGAAATTGAAAATTTCAAAGCTAACAACTACATCCTAACTTGTAGGATCATTATTTGACAGAGACTCTAGATAACCAAGATTCCCTACTTTCAAGCAACAAACAACAACAACCACGACTAAGTCTTCCAACAATCCCTCCCTTAAGCTAGTGCGTTCAAGCACTCAGCTTATACTATTCAATTCACAAACTCCTAACACCTTTCTGAGTTTCTCAAAAGCCTCCAGTTTCAAAGATTTTGTGAACATATCTGGCAGCTGCTCACTAGTATCACAATGAACTAATTTAACAACGTGTAGAAGTTTGTTACCTTTAGCATAATTGTTTCTTTTATTATTGTTTTCACTTTAGATTTTGTTATATTTTGGTCAAGGTTTGTCACCTTTTGGCAATGAAATTTTCGCTTATTTTGTTATATTTTTATTTTGATAGTTTTGTGTTAAATTTTGTCACCTATGCTATGAATCCTCACCTTCAGCTGTGCAAGATTACCTTTGTGGTGAAGTTTGTCACCTTTAGCTATTGATTGTTACATTTGGTCTGAACTTTGTCTGCTCCAGCTATGAATTGTTACTTTCTGTCTAACCTTGAAACATTTAGTATTTACCTTCATTCTTATCACCTTTTGATTTGTTGTCTTTAGGTTGAGGTTTGTTACACACTGAAACTTTGGCTTACTTGTGCCACCTCTATTTTTTATTTGGTATTTTTTAGTTCGAGTCTATCATATTGAGCTCAGAGTTGTTATCTCTGTGTTGAAGTTAGTCACGCATACTTATTAATTGTTACATTTGTTTTGAATTCTCACCTTTATGTATGAGTTGATAGCTTTGTGTACTTGTTACCATTGGCATAAGTTTGCTGTCTTTATTTCTTACATTTACATTTTGTCTCTACATCTTGATTTGTCAACATTAGCTATGAATCTTTGGCTTAAGTGTGTTACCTTTATTTTTTTATTTGATTTTCTTTGTGTTTTAGTTTATCTTCAAATATGCTTCATTACATTTGCATCAAATGTCATCTTTAGATATCAATTGTTACATTTATTCTCAACTTTAGATATGAATTGTTACATTTAGCATAGTTTTCTTTTCTTTATTTTGTCACATTTATATTTGTTTTATCTTTAGGTCAATCTCTGTCACCTTTAGCTATTAACCTTTGGCTATATTTTCTTACCTTTATTTTTGTACCGCTTTGTTGATTTTGTCACATATAGCTATTAATTGTAACATTTCTCTTATTTGATGCCTTCGTGTTGATGCTTGTCGCCTTTTCCTATGAGCGTTTGGCTTTATTTTGTTACCTTTTCTTTATGTGATGCCTTTGTGTTGATGTTTTGGAGATCACTTAAAATATAACTAAATGGAAGAATAGGTTAAATGTATTCAATCCCAAAAATTTGTGATAATGGCTTCGTCGTTGTCACTCTGTCGATGTTTGTCACCTTCAACATTCTTTGTTTTTGTCACCTTGAGATTTTCTTATCTTGAGGTCGAAGTTTGTCACCTTTAGTATAGACTTTCTTCTTATTTGTGTTGCCTTTATTTTTTATTTTGGCAACCTTGTGTTAAAGTTTTTTTTTTCTTTTTGCTATGAATTGTTATCTTTATATAGAAGTTTTTCATCTTTAGCTATATTAGTTGTTGCATCTGTTTTAAACTATGTCAGGCTTCCCAATGAGTTTAGCTTTTGTCTTAGTTTGTTATCTGTTATGTACTTTTGTCATCTTTACCTATTAATAGTATAGATTTCTCATCACTGAGAATTTGCAATATATGTTATTTTATCACAATAGCAGAGTATATTAAGAATTGCAGAGTTAAGACGGTACATAGATAATGAATTAGAATTGTAAGTCCCATGAGAAGTCTATTATCCTTATATAATGGTTGTAGTCTTCTATTGAGAACACTATTTCTGTTCCATTAGTGGATTGGAAGCCAATTTGTGACTCAAATGCTTAATCATAGATTTTGCAGTTGAGCCGAACACATGGGACAACGTTGATTTTTGAAATTTTGTTTTGTTTAGAAAGTTATTACATCACGTGATTTGTATATTTGTATATGTTAGAAAGATATCTATGTGTTTTTCCTTTGTGATCCGTATCATTTAGATGGCATACATTTTAAAAAAAATATTTTTTGTTTTTGCCGAATTATATGAATAAT